GGTCTTAAAGGGAAGCGGTGTGTGAGGGGCAGATGAACTTGTGCTGAAAGACTGATTATGATTCCTCCCTCCTCCTGTTTTCCTTTTATCACAGGCTCAGTATGGAGTCAAGAAACCATGTCGAAGTACGCATTTGTTAGATTCAATTACAGAACTTCAGAAAGCTCAAGCTGAGTTTTTTTTGTGTAGGATAGTGTCATTTTTACAACATCTTACTGACATTGTCCAAAGATTAGCAGGGAGATACTTGGTGTAGCTCACTTTCACATGATAATGCAGCTCAGCGGCAGAAGAGAAGAGAGTCTAAGGAGGAATAAAAATGGAAGAGCAGGAGAGAGCTTAGTGAGTTACACTGAGTGTCCACTGAGTCGTATAAACAAACCTTGAGAAACATAAAAGGTGGGAATGAGAGATAGCGTATTTTACTGTAGAATTAAAATGATTAGGAACTTTACATGAATATCTGCCGTCTTTTCTGTGCCTCTCAACCACAGCTGAAGATACAAGACTCCCAGATGCCTCAGAGACACATTGTCTGGACCAGGAAGTGAGTGATGACGGGGAGAGAGAGAGGCTGCTCTGTGGTAAAACGCTGAGACTGGGCCCCGCCCATCCTGTGCCCATCCTGCCCAGAGAGACTGAGTTACTGAGTAACAGCTCTGCCATCTTCTCCACCTCCTTTTCCACCTGCACCCCCACCCCATACCTGCAGCCCTCTCACAACAACGTGACATCCCACTGAAATATCCTCACCCACTCACTCACTCTCACACACGCACGCATGTCCTGTGTCTCAGAAGCATCCCATATGGCTTGTAATCTGTGTGATGTATGTTCAGTGTCTCAGTGACTTTCCATTGCCCTTGCTGCATAAGGTGAGAGTCTGCAACCTGGCTGAGTGTGCATCTGTGCATATGTGTGTGTAACTGTATGGTAGCGAGAGTGATTTGGAAGGCGGTCAGATGGTGAAGAGATGGAGGATTCTTATCTTGTATATTGTATTTATATCTTGAATATTCTTTCATTCACCCCAAGTCTTTATTTTTTAATTTTTTTAACTGTTTTTTTTTTATTATATAGCTATTGTTTCCTGTTTTTAAACTCTCATATACAAGAGGTATTCTTTCAAGCAGCATTGTGTGGAAAGTTTAGAGTGTGATACAGAGAAACCACTAAAGAGTGAAGAGTAAAATGTATCTGGACAAGAATTTAACCAACCAAATGTGAAACTTGCATCAAAGTGCCTCATGTATCACAGTTTTGTCATATTCAAAGATTATTTTAAGCATCTGTAGCTGTTTTAACTAAACCATGGTACAAGCATGATTCCACTGACAGTGATAACACTGACTGCAGAGTACAACACGAGGCCAGAGTGTGAAAGATATTTCCCAGAAATGCACCACGTGTTTGACTTTTGACATAATTTCTTGCCACAATGTGTTTCTCACTCTGCACTCCAACAAAATACTAAGACAAACAATCAGTGCCTGATTTGCTGTGAAGATGACATTGTTACACATTGTTTAATGTATTAATACAATAAAATACTATTATAACACTGTAATTTGATCATATCCCAGAGGTATTTGGTAAACAGTGATGTATGAAAGAAATACATGATACACACAAAACTGCTGTGCAATACGACTGAAATGTTAAATGATTCAAAATGGTACCATCTTACAATAACTATATTTTTTAATTTTGAAGTATAAAGCATTTCATCTTATGTTTAATTCAAAATAAACAGATTAAACAGAGTAAATTGAAAATACAGGCCCCATAATACAACCCCAGTGCAATAAAAATGATTGTACATGTGATTTGCAGTTAAGGTTATAAAACAACAGCTTTGTGGAATGCAGCATCACTGCATATGCTAAGGAGTAAGACAGTATAAGAGCATCAGTAGACTACTGGACATTAGACAAAACAGTTTCAGCAGTGGTTAGATGGTACAAGAAGAGCCATACTACCAATAAAAAAGGTGCAGTGGCCTCCTTGAAAACCAGACACCACACACAAATCACTTTTTACACAACCCTGTACTGAAAAACAGGAAGGTATATACTTCAGACCTGGCACAAGAATTATCTGTGGTGATTGATGCTTTAGTGACAGATCAGACATTGCACTAATTCACAATGTGAAGGAAGAACTCAGGTGCCACAAAATGGCACAGAATTGCAGGATTAAATTTTTCCAAAGAACAAAAAAAAAAAGCTTGATAAATATTGACAGCACATTATTTAGTCGGATGAAACCACAATTAATTTGTTTGTGTCAGATGGGGTCCAGTATGTTTTACATGAACCTGGCCAGAACATGAAGGAGTGTGCTGATATGGGGATGAACTAGCATAAGAGGTGTAAGAGATGATATTTATAAACATTGAAAATAGTTTGTATACCCAAATACTGAATGAAAAGATAGCTCCCAGGCTCAAGAAGCTTGAAAGCAAAAACCCAATATAACTGTAGCTATTAAATGGATAGCACTGGTAGTAATTTAACATTTTAGTGATATTGACCAATGATATTGCATACTCTGTAGGCCAATTTCTGACACAACACTTATAAAGTGTAAAATGTTCACTGTTTAATTCCCATGTTTTCTGAATTACTGTGTGCTACTAGCTGTTTTTAGTCGTTTCTTGATGAAATGCAGTTTGCTGGCGCCCCCTGCTGCCTCTGATAAGTAGTACATCCTTTAGTCTTCAGTCATTATGACTTCAACTGTTTTACGATGATGATACAATATGATAGTAATTGTTGTTCTGTTCAGTCTTATGCTATAGTAGACCTGCACTATATAGTGTTCTCTGCCCAGCATGATAGCCCGGGTTCATTAAACTGGCATCAGGGAGGACATACTCTCACTTCGTTGAGGATTTGGAGAGGCACATACTGCATGATACCAGGAAAACAATAAAGCCAAATCGAGTTAGGATAAATCAGGGAGTCAGTCTTTTTTTTTTTTTTTGCTCATAGGATAAAGCATCAGTTACATCCAGTTAAATAACTATAGCATCTTCTCAACTGCTTATTTTCCCGATTATCGATGATGGAGGAATATCTGAAACATTCGGTTTTACCACCAAAGCAAATGTGACTGTGGGTTACACCAATATCAGATTTGACAAATTTGCACTGTGCGTTTCTTGAGATTGCATTTCACTAAACTTTACGACCAAATGAGAGAAAGATCAGGAAATGTGGACCTGTTTGGTCACCACTTCCTTTTACTTTGACTCCAGAGGGTGTGACACATCCCTGATAGTTGCTTTATGTAAAATATATGATTAAAAAAAATACCGTGTGAAGTAAAGACTTTTGCTGTTGCTGCATAATGTAAAACTGTTGGAGGCAGCAGTGCAACCTCAGTACTCCCTGCTTTTTTGTAACACACTTGACTTGACTGTGAACTTGTTAACATTTGTACAGATTGCATACCTACTGTATGTACTTAAAAGTCATTGCTCTAATATTAACTAATATCCTGCAGCCATTTAACATAATACTCATGTACTGTACTGTAGCATGGTCTTAATTTGATATTTTCCAGGCTGTTAATAGTAAGGTTACAGAAATATGGCTGTTTCCTTCAATAAACCTAGAGGAAATTGGTGTGTGCTTTGTATTAATTCCTGGATGTTTTAATGCATATTGATCACTATAAACAAAACATTACTTATCAGTAGGACAAAGATAACAATTTACAGTAGCATTTTACTCTAACATTAATTTATAACCATTTATAAACAGCACAGGAACATTTAATGCAGTGTATAAAAATGTTTTGATTTGTGAACAAGCCTGATGCTGTTTTGTTGAGCTAAAGACAAAACACCCACAATTATAAAACGATGCTTTATTGTTCATTCCTCATTGAAAAAAAAGAAAACTTTACACAGAACATTGCTCACATTCCTGAGGACACAGATCGATCACAGTAAGTTTCAGAGGGGCGCTGGGAGAGTAAGGTAACATCGTGTGCACTCGAGTCTCATGAGTTGGGTCTTCAGGCTCCTCACCTTCCTGAGATACTGAGATGTTTAAATACACACATACACAACCATGAATTTACAAGACTTGTATGGCTGAAGAACTCAAGAGCTTGAACTAGGTAAAGATTCTTCATACAACTGTGCATATGTCTGTGTATCAACTGAGCACTGAGAAATGAACGTCAGTAGTACAGCATATCAACTGCCTCAACATATCAAGCTTGGGTGAAAACACAAAGAATCCTCCAAAGATTAAACTCACAGACATTTTTCTTCAATTAAAACTTAATGGATTATTGATTTATGACAATGATGGTCATATAATTGGCAACCATCCAACCATATTAATAATGATATCACTGTTCCTTCATAAGTAAAGAAACACAGCTCTAGCTAACCAAACATAGTAGTATAGCAGGATTTCAAGTAGAAGAAAACCCACTTAAAACTAATTTAAGGTTCATCCTCACTGTCACAAACCTGTACTTTAGGATTAAAAAAAAATCTGCCTGGATGAAAATGGCTCAAAAGCAAAGAAAAAGAAAGCATATTAAACATATAGGGATGGGCTTTTTTTGACAAAATAATTAAATCACTTAAAAGTTGACATTAATTTTGTTTTTTTGTGTTTTTTTTTTATAAAACAAACTTCTGGTTTGAAGTCATATTCCAAATTATACAACAACAAGTAGGATAATATGATTATTACAATTATTAGACACATGGGAAGCAGTCTTGTTCTTCAGCTTTATGAAATGAACAAATTGGACAGATCCAAAACAATTTCTAATTTTTGCAGTAAAAAGGCAATTTTGAGGTGACTAATAACAATATTGAGAAGGTTTTACAGGCCTGTCTCCTTCATCTAAATATTCAAATATGTAAGAATCAGAAAAAGAAGCAAAGTTTTAATTATAGTTAAAGTGAAGTTCAAATTTGTAACACTAGTGAAAACAGATGCTCACTCTTGTGAAGATTATACTACTGGAGCTAGATTACCACACCTGACATGTTTCTACATTAAATATTTTTTAAAACCACCTTATCATTTGCTTCACATTTACTGGACTTTTTCACAATTCCCGCTCATCAGTAGTACATCGGAAGCATTCCAGTCATCCCAAAGAATTGACGTTATAATAAATAGCACCCTTTATAGTCGCATATCTTTCCAGACAGTTAAATATACAGAAATATCATCCTGTTATTTCTTAGAAGCTGCTTCTCATTAAAGCCAATTCTCCCTCTGATCTGTCATCTCTGCCACACTGACAGGAAACAGACTCTACTACTCTAAATATTTCATTATGTTCACCTGCATATTTTCTCCCATAATGTTTTTTTTTTTTTGTAATACACACTAGTATTGCTTTTTTTTAAATTTTATTTGGACGAATAAAAAAACAATTATAAATGTTAGAAGGTCTTTACAATATAGAGTAAATGTTTACCTTTGCATAAAATGAGTAAAGAGGTTAATAATTAGCATAAATTTGGCCAAGGGAAATGAGATGTAAAATCATGAACATGTTTAATTACTAATTTTTAAAACCTCAAACAATAACAATGAAGGTCAAATTTTACCTATAGAAACTAAAAAGAAATTCATCATGCCCATCCCTAATACATAAACTCTTCCCAAACCAAATGTATTTTCATTTTGGAAGCTATTTGTCATATAACATACATACACCTTTGTAATATAAGGTATCCTCTGTAAATATAGCACTATATACAAAATTAGAAAAGCATGTCAAACAAAATGTAAAGGCTTTTAGTAGCAGATTCAAGCTAATTATAAAATAGACAAGATGTACAATATTGTACAGGACAGATTCCTGTCAAGATATGTGTATCTGGATGGGACATTTTGCTTCTTCAGTCAGACAGTTCTACAACATAACAAGTAAAAATAATCATAAAAATCAAATGTGACAATTGTAAACACAATGACAGCTCTTGCTTGTTGTGACCAATTTCTGGTGGCCAAACACTTATTATTAAATGAGGTTATACAATGTCTTATAGCCATAAGAACCACTGTAATTTAACATGATGTAGTTAACACACACCTCACTTAGCTCAACAAAGGAGTAAATGACTAAATGGCTGCAATTTAATGGTCATAACATTACATTTGAAGATATTCATTCTGCTGAGCCAAAGCACAAATGGAAGACAAATGTACTTTTCCTAAATATTGTGCAACTCAAAAAGCAGCCAGGATTGTCTCAGGTCTGAATATATATTGTTTTCAGATGGCATATAATCTGTGCCTGATCTGCATAATCAGCCTCTCGTTTCTTTTGTGTAGCTCCAGAGGGAGCGTTAGCAATTTGCACTTCTTTCGCCTCCTCAAACCCAGGACTGCTAACTCATCTCACTACATGCGGTGTCCTCCGGAACTGCCTCAGCTTCCACTTCCTTTTATACTGAAAGTCTGCCTGTGCAGCCTCACCACAGAGGCAGGGGTAATGGTAAAGAACAGTGTGGTATAGCATGACGTGTGACAGTCTAATACCAATTTACATCAGCGCTAAAATAATCAAATGAAACAAAGTAATACTCTACTTTTCCTTCACTGGTATTTAACTTAGCCTCGAGCCAAATATTAATGTTATTTGCTTTTCTAACAATGTTGGGTTGAACTCCAGAAGGTTAAAGGCTATTTACTTTAAACATTTTGTCACACAAAGGGACAAAAAATCCCAACTACAATACAAAAAAAAAAAAAAAAAGTTTAATCAATTGAAAACCTCCAGTATGCATACCCTGACTAACAGATCCTTTAACCTACCTATTAACCATAATTTAGAAAATAAACACACATTAAGAAGGACAAATGCACAGTTCTGGGTTTATTCCACTAGGATCTCCTCTGTCTTTATGGGTTCTAATGGGGTGCCAGAGTTGGACAAGTCAGAGCCTTCATCTTTGGAAAACTCTTCACGCTGGAGCAGCATCCCTGCGCCAGTATTTCCCTGCAGCCCCATTAATCCCCCTTGGGTGAAGCACAGGTGTTTGATCACCTCGTTAGGACTGGAGAATGTGGTTGCACAAATGTTACACTTGTAAGGCTTCGACGAGCCCAAGAATATTGCCTCCATCTGGCTGGCGTCGTCGCCTGCAGCGCACAGCTCCATGCTCTGTCGGTCCACCATGGTGTAGGTGTCAGCTCCCTGGTTCAGGCACACGTGGCGGGCCGCCTGGTTGGCCCGACAGAAACTCTTGCCACACGCGCTGCATTTGAAGGGCTTTCCCGTGTGGATATACATGTGTTCCCGCCAGTGGCTCTTCTGGATGAACTTGCGCCCACATGTTGAACACTCGTATTTTCGCCGCTTCACTTCTCGGTCCAAGTCGGCACTCTCTAGGTTGTCAATGTCCGCAATGTCTGACGGAGGCGGTGTATCGGCCTGAGAGTTTAACCCTCCCGGCCCCCAGCTGGAGGTGGACACCTCTGCTTGGGGAGAGTCCGAGTTGGTCCCTGAAACAGGCGTTTGCTCACTGTCACTGATTACCGCGGCGGGGCCAGCAGAGGCCCCCGAGCCTGGCTTGCCTCCCTTAAGGATGCCGTCTGCCTCTAGCATGCTGTGTTCTCCAGTCATAACAGGCGAGAGTGCACTGCGTGGCTCGGTCGGGGTCTGCTGAAGAGCCTGGGTGTGCTGCAGGAGGTGCTCTCTCAGCAGACTTCTCTGGTTGAATCGGCTCCTGCACAGATGACAAGAGTAATGCTTCCTAAAGGAGGCAGTCCTCTTCATGATGCTGGGCTTTACATGGAGGATAGCGCTGGCTGAGGAACCATCTGCACCTAGCGGGTCACCCCCTCCCTCTTCAGCTGTCAGCTTAACGCTGCTGGTTGAGGCCTCCATGTCTGGTGAGGACGCAAGCTTTGACTGTAAGGAATTTGTGTATGAAGCTGGCGTGGACAAATACTTCGCTTCTGAGCTGAGCTGCTCCATGTCAACTGGTGGGGAGAGCTGCTGTTGACTGGGCAGTCTGGCTGACAGCGACGCCTGTTGGTCAGAGATCTGTATACCATAGAGGGAGGTGGAGAGGTTGACGCTGTGCTCAGGGTGTGAATACACTGACTGGCTGGCCTCCTGCAAGAGCGGATAGGCATGCAGAAATCTGACGCCCTGCTCCAGACGTGCAGGGTCTATCAGCTGCGGTGCAAGCTTGCCTGTGTACATCAGGTTGAGGAGGTAGCTGAAGATATCTGGCTGTATATCAGCTGCCTTCAGGCGCACACAGTCACTGAAACATAAACATATTATAGTTAACTAGTGAGGTCTTCATAATAATAAAGAATACTGGTTGATACAGGCATCAGCTGTTAACAGAAAAGTAAGATAACTTGATGAAGTTACTGGTCACAGGTTGTTGAAAACTTAGACATGAATAAATCTCCACTGAGCTCAGTGAGGGAACCATCACAGATTGACAGGGACATGTAGATGCGGTTTGATCTTAATGCTTCCTTACAATTTGTCAGCATATCAATCCACTGACTTGAACCATAACATTAGTTTTGGGTCATGACACTAAAAATATATAGATACAGATCAGTGCTCAGTTACAGAGAGCAAAGGTCCTTCTATATTTGACTACATGAGAAAAAGTCTGTGTTATCTCGACACTGCACCTGTACGTTTTGGCTCCAGAATTTGGTGTGTGGTAAATTTTCCGATAAAATCTTTTTTAAAAATCTTAATATTGAGCCTGACTTCAAAATCACATCCCGCCTGTACCTGTCCTGGTGAATGAACAGCATTCTGAAGTAGTTGGAAAAGGCAGCGAGGACGGCTTTGTGGGCTTTAAAGAAGACATCTCCTATGGCCACAGTGCAGTCACACAGGAAGCCAAACTCCCTCTGAGCGTTAAGCTGCTGCAGCAGGATAAGACCATGGTTGGCTAACTCCATTCTTCAACCTGCATAAAGACAAACAGATGCACACACACCCACGAGCAGCAATGAGTTTCCTGTGTGGAAAGAGACCAGTTTACTGATACCACAAAGAGTTCGACTGACTGGGGTGATATAACAACCTTGTAAAGGCTAACACAACAGTGAAAATTCATCTTGTAGCACTAACATTACATAATAATATGTCCGTTAATGGTCTGGTTGGTTCAGTGAATTGCACTGGAGAGTACTTGGACATGTTGTGCAATGAAAATTAAGAATTAGAACAAGTTATTTGTGAATTAAATTAATCTGTAATGTGTTCTTTGTGCTTTAATAGAGATCCACTTCAATATGTCTTACAGTGGTTGAGCTGATTTCTAGCCACTAAAGGGGTTTTGTCATTATAGGACCCAACCAAAACGTGTCAAGCCGAGTAATGTTCATCATAGGTTCTGTGTTTGTTTCCACTGCCATTCGCCCACTTTGGAGCTGTGTTCGGGACCTAAATTTTGGCACCCCTCAGGAGGTAGTACTAAAATCACGTTCCAGGAACATGAGGAGGGAGGGGGTGCATGCGTGCAGAGCAGTCACTGGTGATTGGTTAAAGGTCTGCTCTTCACACCTCAGTCATTACAAGCAGGGTGTGTAAAGAGGCATTTATATACCGGTTTAGAGGCAAACAGGGACTTCAGTGAGTGGACAGCAGCAAAGCGGTGAAGGCATCAAGGTCCGCGTCAACCTGGGAGGTCAGTCGGGGCATGGTACTGGGTATTACCACTCATTAGGTTCCAATAATGGAAACGCAGAATAAACGTGAGTGAAAGACCATGTGAACAAGAAGTTTTTCTCTGCAGCTCGTCTACACACTGAAAACCTGGAACTAGTGGAGCCCAAACCCTTCAAATGCAACCTCAGAGTTATGTGTGTTCTGCTGACTAATGAGAAGAGTGTTGTTGACCCTAAAGGTCTTTGGAAGACTACCAGGGCTTAAGGCCATCACATGATAAGGGTTATAAGGGTGTCGACACTTTTCTAAGGCAAAACTGGTTCCACTCCACTGGTTGTCCTTCCAGTGGAGAATGGAAACAGCCTGTGGGCAGGGTGAATCTCCTTTCTTCAACACCTTCTCCACCTCACAAAGGCAAAGAAATATATTCAGACAGAAAATGATACTTCAGTCAGTGTACCTCAGACAGATTACAATTCTGTACTCTCCATCACCCCCAATGGATACAAAAACACACACTCTTTACACACATGTATTTCATTAAAGAGGTCAGAGTGCAAAGATGATGACACTGCAGCACTTCAGGAAAAGCTAGGCTGCATCTTGTGTAGGGGGGAACAGCAACAGCATACACTCAGGTTTTTAAAAAACATTTTTCAGGCTGTTGTTTGTGGTACTGTTGAACTACATTGTGTTAAACTAAGAGATGTTTCTAATATGTTGTCCAGCCCATTTATATTCTGCTCAGCAGTCTCCAGCCCCACTAACCTGCCCAGTGTGTGTTTGTTGTTTCTTGATGCCGTCTTTTCTCTCTCCACTCACCCCAACCGGTCAAGGCAGCACAGCCGCCCACTGGGAGCCCGGTTCTGTTTGACATTTCTTCTGTTAAAGAAAGTTTTCCCTTCCCACTGTTGCCAAATATTTGCTCATGAGGGGTTTGTTGTGTGTTTCTCTATAATTCTGCAAGGTCTAGACCTTTTGTAACAACAAAAAGCTCCAACAAACTGTTAAAATAAGCCGGTTACTTGAAGAACGTTTGGGAGTTTGTAAACTAACTTGGGCCTATAATATTGTCACTTCTTGTTGCTTTTCCTTTTGGATATGCATTAATAGAAGATGTGTGGTTGTTAAAGTACCGGAGTCTTGTAATCCCGTGTGTTGAACCAAATGTTTCGCATGACACAAAAATAAAAATAAAGCACCAAAACGATCATTTATAACCACAGTGCTTCAACTCATATGATCCACTAAATTAGCCACAATAACGTGTTAATAAAAGGCTACTAAGTTGTTTGCAACAAAGCACCGCCCCTGATGTGATGTAGACACGTGGAACCGTAACTTCCGTAGTGAAATTTTCTGTTATGCTGAAAATACACCCTCACAAACCGCCTGTGAACGAGGCAGCACCGCGAATAAAACGGTCCAATAAGACACAAAATCAACAGATGAACATAAAGCCGTCTGTAAAGAGCAGACAAAACGAGCGCGCCTGGTTGACTCCTGCCTCTGGTCTCCGTCGGTTGCTAGTGCGAGAAAACTGACCTGCACGCGGACGCGCAACACACACACACAAAGCGCGGAAAGAGCGAGAGACGCAAGGGGGATGGGGTTTGTCACGAATGCGTTTCTTTTAACTTCCCCGTGACAATTACTGTTTGCCAAAGATTACACAAGTAGCCAAAAATACAACACAGCCACTAAGCGAATGGGTTAAGTGTGTAGTTAAAGACAGCCATACCTGCACTCCGCTTAAATTCGTGGAGTTTGCAGTGTCGCCGTTGTTTGTTACCGGGGACTCGTCCGTCCTCTCTGCCCTCGCAGCAGCTTGTACTGTTCCTTTGCAAACGCAGCTTTCGCTGGCGGCGGAGAGGGTCGTCTGTCGGTGTTTTCCGGTTAGGGGTTTTACGTTACAATCACATGACTGTGGGTAAAAGCCAGCCAAAAACAGCCGTTGTAAAAATCCGTTGAGCAAGGAGGCGGTTGGCTTAACGTTAGTTTCCCGCACTGTGGTTACACAGTGCTGTGACATCAACCTCCGATATAGCCAGCTTTTTTTGACAGCCGGTGAGCTCGAACACAAACAGCTAACAACTACATTGACTCACTGTGTGGTAGTTAATCATTGTCTCTGCCGTTAACGACACGTTAAACATAAAACCAAAGTGTGTCCCTCGCCCTCTCACTGACACAACGAAATAACAGCCGTCTCACATTTGCATTTTCGGTAGAAGCGAGTCGATTCGAGTCGAGATAGGTTTTCAACAACTGGACAAATCTTTAATATAAACCACTGACCTAGCTACATTTACAACACTGTAATGGATATTATGTCAATATCAGACCAAGTATTCTATGTAATAACGCAAATATTAAAACACTGTCATAACGTATAAATGTTCCCTTCCAGTACCTCATAAGTACATAAGAGAATTGTGTGATAAAAGGGGTCAAACAAACAAAAAAAGTAAAGTGCCACAAATAAGAAAACAACAGGTCCAGCAACTTAGGAGCAACCGTAATGTAAAGACCAACGCGTTTCGGCAAGGAGCCTTCGTCGGGGTCAATTAAAAGTATATTAGACAGAGTCCTGTAAGTAGTACAGGTATAGAGATAATTCCTTTAAAAACAACCAATCACATACAAACTCATACATGTCAGCCAATAAAAATCATGCACATAGTAGGAAAAGTAGGACCCTTTACTTTTCCAGTTTGTTTTTCCCTTGTTTGTGCACCTTGACGATGGCTGAAGCTGTGCCAGAAATGTTTGCTCTATCTAAACATTACAAATAAAAAAAAAACATCCTGTCATTTCTTTTAGGGTTGGCTCTCAAAGAATAAAGTGGAGGTGAACAAAAACATATTTAAAAACTGTTATTCCTTAGTATTAAATTTAGGCAGTATCCTAGTTATCATCAAAGGATCATGGATCATAACAGTTGTGTTGATGAGTGTATACTAGGTTACTACAATACTACAGTAAATAGCAGTTTGAGGCTATTGTAAAGTGCTTTTTATAAACTTTAAAGGATAAATGATCAAACTTACATTTTGTTCTGTTTTTAGGGGACTTTGTCTTCACCCTTGACAAGGCTTTTATTTCACTAGACCTATGGGAAAGCAGGATGTGAGTTATCTGTGTAAATAAGAGAAAGCCCTTCCATTTCTTCCCATTTGGGAAGGTGCTGCTGTTTAACCACTGATATAGACCTAATTCCCACATAACTCTCATGAATTGTATGACTTACATGTATCAACTTACATTTGACCATTTATACCAGCCTTATTGGTCACTGGTAAATACCGGTTTATAGCTTGTGTCATATTTTGGTGCCCGATCATCTGTTGTTTGGGCTGTCTTTAAATGGTTCTTTAATTTGTGAGGTTACACTCATTTCCAAGCACCTAGGCTATTTAAAAGAGTGCATATAGTGGCGGAGAGGTTTATAAGTGATGCCAGTATCTACAGAAAAAGACTTTTACCCAGAGGCGGCTATTACAGCACATAACCACGATTCTACTAATTTTAATAATGATCATTTTACTTGCTCACACCTGTGAAACAGACACCGTAACAGTGTAGAACCTGTGTACGTCCATAGTTGTAAACAGTGCCATGGTCCAGCTGAATGTCAAATAACCTTGAATTATGCAACAGCAAACAGTTTTTGTGCTGCTTCTGAGTGAATGGAGAAATGACCCCTGCTTGTTACACACCCTTAACGGGTTCTTATTTGGATCTCAACAAGATATTGCCTGCCAAAAAATAACCAGTAAAGTAAAATGGGAAGTCTATGGGAAATTCATTTTTAAATAGGAAAAAGGTTTGTGAAGCAGTAAAAGTAGAGGGAATTAAATTTTTACCAAACCACATATTGATGTTCAGACTGAGGCAAAGGATGTGTTTTTGTTCTCACAATTGCACTTTGGAGTCACATCAATATTTTGCCATCAGATGTTGTCATCAGTGCGTTGGTGGATATTGTCTCAGTGTAAACACCAGTTTTTTCCTAGGCCTGTCAGTACAGAGCTGAATTTCAGCCTGAGGACTGGGAGTCCACAAGAGGGCCAGCTGAAAACGGCTGGCAGTGAATGGGTGGAGAGTCTGTCTGTAAAAGGAGATGGGAGTCATGGGAGGGGGCAGAAATGCCAGTAAACCATAGTTTGAGCACATTAAGGTCTCTGTCCTGTCAACAAACAAAAGATCTAGATGTCCTTATAAAAGCTAATTAGCTATTAAGAATGTAGGCCGTAGGAGTAAATGTTTGATAGACAAAATACTGAATGAAACCACTGGTAGAGCAATATGACAGCAGAACAAAAACACGTTTACTTAGCTGACAGACACAGCAGGCTTTTTTAAAGAAATAGATTAACTTTTCCCACACTGGCTCACTGTTGTTCATCATTAAAATCTGTATTTTGATCAACATCTTTGTGATAGCCTAATGCTCTACTAAAACCACGCACTCCAATGTTTTAGACAGGACTTTTCACTTGAATGTCCTGATTGCTACTAAACAGATTTTTTTTTCTGCAATGATGCATTTTCCAAGCCAACATAAGTCTGCATGAAACTGCATAAAACGTCCAGAGAGACTTGCGTAAGCATAATTTCAAGCGACATATTCAGTCTTCTAAATGAAACAGGCGACTCAGTGAGCCTGTTGCCGCATGAGATGACTGTGTGGTGAGGTGAAACGCCTGTTTAAACAGGAACTTTAACGTTAGCTGCCGCCCTCTCCACCGTTCATGGCCTGCTTTGAAGCCGGACTGGTGAGTCACAACTCTCGGTTTAGAAAAACAGATCCGGCACGGCTGGAGCGGCGGGGGATGGGTAGCCGGAGGTAGATGAACACCGGAGGTGGACGCAGCTGGACTCTCACTCCCAAGGACCCCACATCCTGACAACGACCCGCCGTGTTCCCATAGTGACCGGGACTGAGCTGAGAGAGGAAAAAAACAGTGCCAGAATTAATTCATATGCTTAGGTTATTTTCCAGCTTAGTAATCGTGGATACAACTTTAAACACACAAATCACTTCCGTGGATACATAATGTACGCGGTAAAGGCTACAGTTAGCCACTAGCCTACTTTCATATGTAGCATTTAATGAGGATCTCCAGAAGGAACTCATTAAGGAAATGCTTTTCTTTATCAAAGTAATGCTCTCTACCCCCTCCTTCTTTCCCGCCAAAACGTCTTGGGGGTGAGGGTGCGAGGTGGTTGTGATTGGGCGTATCAATGTCTCCATGACAACAGTTACCCTAAACAACAGGGGATGCTCGGGGTGCTGCCGCAACAACGTAATGCTGTACGCAATGCGGCAACGCGTACCACTTTTTGACTCACCCCAGAAAAGACGCACTTTGCACACTGAAAGATGACGTGTACGTGCAAAGGCGGTACTGCTGAGCATCTTTGAATTATAACCGTAATAGCCACACGCATGGGCATGGGAGAGAAAAGATGTCAAAACTGCAGTTTACATTTTAATCGCTAGATGGTAGCATCCTCTCTCAGATAAAACCAGGGAACCAGGACAGAAATATTAAAATGAAATATTTGTTACCAGAACGAAGAGGATGCTGTTTACTTTACTGAGTGACGTCGACATAAAAATAAACGCTACCTGTCGCGTTCAAGCCTCAAGCAGGGCTCTAACATTTGTTCCTGTCCTGGAAACTTTATCGATAAAGTTTGAATTTGAATGGTCACCACTGCTGTAACGATGGCGGCCGATAAAACTGACACCTTATACGCAGTTCCTTCTTCATTGTCTGCCAAAGTGGTTGGGTATGTTGACAGCTCATTTAACTATTATGTAGCTATGCTAAATATTGTGGGTATCTACACTGTTACACTACACTAGCTAAACAGCGACCTGACGTTAAGACTGTGGTATTCCTTGGTTCAAACCAGTAGTAGCATTAGCCCGCTGCAAACAGAAAGCCTTTAGGTAATAGCTAACCGAGTGTACACATGCAAGTAGTTATGGAGTTGGCTCAGACCAATTAACCTAAAGCAAGTATATTTGTTCAGGGCACCGATATACTTCCGAGTAGCATGTTCTCCCTGCACCTTGCTAACTAGCTAGCTTGACGTCACTAGCGTTACATACACATTCTAATGTTTTATGGTATCAAAAAGTGTCCATGTGTCGTTAATGCAGTATTGTTTCTGTGCAGGTCATTTGCTTATCTGACTGTGAGAGACAGACTGCCTACCATCCTAACTAAAGTTATAGACACAATACATCGCAACAAAAACATTTTTTTTGAAACATATGGAGAGGTAAGGATTTTTACTGATTAACTGGATTTAAATTGGTGTCCTTAAATTCCCCCTGGAATTATGAAGCACATTTGGAAGCTTTAACTTGGTCTTGCGTCTGTTTCCTCTTTATTCTCATGCAGGAGGGTATCCAGGCAGAGAAGCAAACAATAGCTCTGCTGGCTAAGATGAGGAATGAGTTGCTAACTGATAAGCCAGTAGTACCACTAACAGACAGCCTGCAAGACACAGAGTCCTGGAATCGGTATCTGCAGAGACATCAGAGACTGCAAGGGGACCAGGAGTTTGTTAGTTGGTTCAGGTCTCCCTGGCTTTATGTGGAGTGCTACATGTACCGCAGGATACAGGAAGCCCTTTGGCTCAAGTGAGAAACATATACATATTTTCTTCAATAGGGCAAAATGCCATGTTTTATTATATTTGTTTAGAGAGGCATAATCATAGGACTCTCCGTTGTTCAGAAGCCATTCTCAAAAATTTGACAGTTCTTGCATTATATTGTTAAATTTAGTGTCATTATTCACATAAATTTCACTGTTGTTGATAAATAATAAAATGCTTTCCTTGCTTCTCTCTATTGTGTTCTAGCTCCCAGGTTGTGATTTTTATTTCTGCTTGTATTGCAGTCCTCCCATCAGTGACTACGACGTCTTTAATGAGGGAAAATGTCAGAGCTTTTTTGAATCTCAGCAGGCTGTGATCACCTTATGTACATATTTGGAGGGTGTCAAAAAGAACATGAAAGAGCCGTCTAAGAATCATCAGTTTGAGCATTTCAACAAACTGCTGCTGGTCAGTGTCTTCAGTCCTTTCTGAATACGAAAAAGTTTATTTAGTGACCTGATGAATGAATTAGTAAACAACCCCATCCATCCCTTTTCTTATTCTACCATAATTCGAATTGACTTTATTCCCTTATTTGGAAACTCATTGTGTTATAATCAAGATAAATCTGTGGTGCTGACTGTGAGCTAGATGAGCAGATCTTTCATGAATCCCTGCCATGATTGGAAGTAAGACATAAAACCCCTGTTGCTGAGATGCACATGATGCTGCACAGATTTCATTTTCATAAAGTAATCACTTTGTTCAATGTGGCTTATTGTATCCTGTAGGAACTGATTAGAAATGAATTCAATAATGTGTATTGCCTTGCAGCTATGGTGGATTAGCACTTGAAGTATGTAGAATTTAGTGTGACATGATTTTATTCTAAAGCACTATTTAAACAAAAAGTTGTATGGATGTAAATGTCATACTTGAACATAAACTCATCATTTGATATTCATATTTATTGCTTCATTTCCTAGGTCTCTTTATGGGGCAACAGGTGTGATCTCTCTATTTCTGCTGGCCAAGAGAACGCACAGAAGACCAGTCCAATAGATTCCCTCAGTAGCCTACAACCGTTCATCTTGGTGGATGACTCCAGTATGGTATGGTCAACTCTTAGTTCCACCCAGAGGCCAGTACAGGTCACTCAATGCAGGGTGGACATTGTACTAGATAATGCTGGCTTTGAGTTAGTCACTGACTTGGTCTTAGCAGATTTCCTGGTTTCCTCTGGCCTTGCACGTGAGATCCGTTTTCATGGCAAATCTATCCCATGGTTTGTGTCTGACGTCACAGCTAACGATTTTCAGTGGACCATCCGGCAAACCATGGCAGCCAACAACAAGTGGATGTCCAAGAGTGGTGTACAGTGGCAGCGCTACCTGAAGGAGGGTGTGTGGTCCTATCAAGATCATCCTTTCTGGACACAGCCTCATGAGTTCTGTGATATGGCAGCTGATGCTCCAGACCTGTACACGACCCTGCAGGGTGCAGATCTGGTGCTGTTTAAAGGTGATCTAAACTACAGGAAGCTGACGGGAGACAGGTACTGGGATCACACAGTGGGCTTTGATACGGCACTGCGAGGTTTTGGGCCTGCACCCCTGTGTAGTCTGAGGACTCTGAAGGCAAATGTTCAGGTCGGCCTGCAGCCGGGACAAGGGGAAAAGCTCACCTTGCAAGATCCAGACTGGATGACCAGCGGCAAGTATGCTGTCATTCAGTTCTGCAGCCCAAAGTCAGGACATTAATCCTACCTTCAGACTACATGTTGAAGTGACTCAAATCAGATTGTTTTTCCCCTCTGTGTGAGTCAGATTTGATCTTTTTACAGATACCTTTTTTTTAGATTGCATCTGATCTCGGATATGAATCGGATGTAGGGCCATTTATGTAAGTGGCCCAGATCCAATATAAAAAATGGTATCTGTAAAAAGATCAAATCTGACTAGTCAGAGATCGGATATGAATCGGATCAATGACTAGTCAGATCAGAATTCATGTGTTGTTTTTTTTTACTGTCCTGTGCTGCTACTCATGCACATACTGCCTTTCGTCATCATTCAGTGTCAGACTGACAGACTAGGAAAAACAAACATGGAGGAGACGCTTTTGATCAGGCCAAGGTGGAGGGAGCATGTTGTAACTGAGGTGTTTGTGAGGAATTGGCGTGTGTCTATGTCACACATATTATGTCGTTGTTATTGTGTGCATACAGCTCGCATTCAGTTAAATCTGCACACGCATGGCAGCTTCAGAGTCCAGCAGTGTTCAGATCAGAACTGGATGCATGTTGCTCGCAAACATGAATGTGAACCGTAAACAGAAAAAGATCAGAATTGAGCATTATGGCTTGTAATGTGAATGTACGATGGACCACCAAATCTTACTGGGAAGATGTGGATTCAAGAACATTACAATAATAAATACCATAAGCAAAAGTTACCTTTAAGCCGCAATGCTGTTTTGAAGTTGTGGTTTTGTTCCTTGTTGGTTAGAACCTAATGTTTAATTAAAAAATGCACAATAACAAAGATTTAAATCTTTCACTACTGATCTGTAACATCTTTTTCTTAAAGCTGCGTTAACTAAGATTTAGCAGAAATTTGGATAAATCAAGTAAAAAAAAAAGTCTGAAATTGTTGTCTCCATGCATATCGCTAAAATGTAAACCTCTTTATTTGACATTGTCACTGCAACGCCACTGAAAACCATGGGTTCTATGGCTCTATGTTCCATATACATTAGTTCTGGAGCCAGTTATTACTGCTGCACTACCTGACTGCTACAATGGTCTCTGGCAGTCATAACCACATATGGTCTAGTTTCAGAGACTATGCATGAGAGGTGAAGAGGAGGGGATACTTCTTGAGTTTATTTTGACTTTCACTTCACCCTTACTGGTCAAAAATTAGAGGGAGAAGTTAGTTAATGCAGCTTTACAATGTTTGCACTTTATATCTAAATACTATATTTCCCAATGATTTAAACACAGTGATCAATCAAGGTTGCTTCTTTTGCAATGTGTTGTCCACATTGTATTAGGTCATAATATTTACATGATTATTAAGTTGAAATTAAGTAAGAACTGGACCTTATAAACCTCTACCTTAGAGCAGTACTGCTTCAGTCTTTGCATGTACTTGAGAAGAGTGTTAGATGTATTAGTATTGTAATTCAGCTCAGCTTAGGTTGTTTTACTGCTTCACTCATTGATATGCATGCATCAGAACACGCAGACAGCTATTCAAACTTACCCGAGGTAGAGTGTATGTCATTTGGTAGCTGTTTTGCTCAGTTTGAAGTTAGTTACTGTTATTGGGGGATGTCTCTGTGCACCCTTTAGTCTAAATTCCCATTGTCAGGTTCAGTACTTCAGAGGTGATATTAATTGGATTTTTTTCCAGTGCTGCTGGGGAAAATGACCACTTTCATTAATGGGTTTGATTCAATAAAGAACTGCAGTGACTGCTCTTATTTCCCCATGGTTCTAATTTACAATCATGAGAAATGAAAGATGTGGGCAATAACTTTTTTTGTTCGATAGTTTCATTTTCTCCTCTTTGGGCAAAACCTCAGCTGTTGAATTGGTTTGCATTTTTGTGTGGTGTGTACATCCTGATAGTGTATTGGTTTCAATCAGCATTTGTGAAGTGCAGCAACAGTTTTCTCTTGTGTACATACATGTGCAGCCAAATGTTGTGAACCCATTCACTTAAAAACTGAACAAATACATCTGTACACACTCAAAATAATTCATCATTAGATAACTTAAAACTTCACCAAGAGCGTGACGTTTTTTTTTATTGGCTTTTTACAACATTTGTTCTTACCTGTCGACCTTTCATGTACCTAAGGTCAGCTTGGACCTAGAAAAACACACAACAAAACAGCTGGAAACGTGTGTTACAATGCTGTTAAAACTGAACGCTATCATTTAGGCTGCTGACATGCTTTGTGAATGCGGGGTGTTATGAAAAGGAGGCCAATTACTGCAAGAAGCATTCTGTTTTGAGCCATTTAGGTGATTTAGCTGTTTCATTTCTCACCCTTCATCGTGCTGTTTAAAAAAAAAAATTATGTAACAGGGTCTTCATTTTATTCCAGGGGAAATGCAAAGAATATCATCATCAGGGCTACTTGTTTTTCCCACTTGACCTGACATGTCCTGAAAATTGGGCCATTTACCCAAGAAAGATGTTACACATAATGGAAAATAAAGCCTCTGTGCCAAATATTCAGTTTTTCTTTGGTGGTGGATGTCATTACTTCCTTGTGATCATGCTTATCTGTATGATTTTCTTGCATACATGGCAATATGTCTCAGTTGACACAATCACATGGAAAAGAGTAGATTTTAAAAAAAAAATCCCAAATGTTTATCATTTGATCTGAAATTTGTAAGTTGATCATGACTTTTTCTTTGCATTTATGTGCATTAAATAAGTATTTCAATATTAAATTGGTTCAAACTGGTTCAAATTTATACCTGCTGTGAATGTGTGAAAATAATCTGGCATTCATAGTTTATTAGTCTTCTTAGAGTTTGGGTTTGCAAGGTTATTTCTTTTTACCTTGACGCCTGACAAGGACTAAAAGGATCCCTGAAAATCACAAACCTGGAACTTTTTTGCCTTAAACAAAAAAAAGTTGATTCCCATAAATCTGCATAAAAGTTCTGCTCCTTGGATTTATTTATGTATAGTGTTGTTTCTTCAATGACTTGATCTGATAAAGTATCTTAAGTAATTAAAGTGGTTCATAATGTAGTGCCTTATGATTTCAATATGTGTCAGTTTCTTTGTAATGTGTATTAAAAGACGGGTTAGGTCATGCTATGTCTGATTGAAATAACCATCAATCCCTTGATCCATTGATTGCGTAATTACTGGCTTCCAGAATGAGATTTGACCTCATGCTCTGTTTGCTGTGTTATGGTGACCTGGCACTTAAACATAGCATGGTTTGGTTTGGTATCGATTTGGCTTCATCTATAATTTGTTTATCTTTGTTCTTTAACCTTTCCACTCTTCCCATTGTGTTCAATGAGCCCAGGTAGATGTCCAAGAGTCGGAGAGATGAGTCGAGCAGAGAGGTTCAAGAGTCTGGATGGTCTTCGTGCTGCATTGCAGATATGAGAATGATTCATGTGTAACAGGTAAGTATGTTTCATGGTAAAAATTTGCCATTTAGCCTCTGTTTAAAACTGTTTTCCAAACGTTTCTCATGTCCACATTAATTTGATTTGCTGTAAGGTCTCTTGAGCCTTCACTTTGGCTACAGATACGCTGTTTGTGCACAGAGCACCAGCTAAATGAACGATAACAAAGAGGTGTGCAGCTAGTTTACAGTTTTCTCTATGCTGAAATCTGCTACCACCTTTAAAAGCCTTTCAAAGTAAGGTTAAGTAGGAAGAGGACATTTCTATAGTGGTGTGAGGCAGGAAAGGAAAGTCTTTTGGGAATCACTGTTTCTATTGTTTTTCCTCTCTCCTCCACCAGCCTTCCCTCTGTCAAACATTAAAAAAGATGTATTAGGAAAAGACAGAGACTCTGTTTACACAAAAACGTGAAGGAAGTTGGGAGGAGCCTTTTTTTTTTTTTTTTTTTTTGTGTTTTTGGAGCTTGGTGGGCGGAAGCTCAAGGCAGATAAGGCAGAGAGACTGGAAAAATAGTGGACCCTTCAAGTTGCCTGAGAGGTTTTATTGGAAAATGGAACGACAGACAGAGAGAGTGGCAAAAGAGTGAAGAGACAGGGAGAGCAGCGCTCATCTCCCCTCCCCCCTCCAGGCAAATGGAAGAGAAAGTCTAAATCATGGTGCTTATCAGTGCAGTTGTGCTGTGATGTTTCTCAGGCAGCCTTGCAGACCAGTACTCAGACCCAGGACGAGCCAAGCCTTCTCAGAACTGGAGACCCTCTCCCCGCCACGTCTCTCGCCTCCACTGCGTGCCCCCTTCGGTGATATATACCCCGAAGAGAGCCGGGGGTCTGGAGGGACAGTCACTGTGGACTTCCTGGAAGGGACGTATGACTATGCTGCTCCAACCCCTGCTTCGACTCCTCTCTACAACCACTCATCCACTGGCTACTACTCTGCTCCTCTAGATGCCCCCGGACCACTCTCTGATGGCAGCCTCCAGTCCCTGGGCAGTGGGTCTGCAAGTCCTCTTGTGTTTGTGCCCTCTAGCACTCAGCTCAGCCCATTTATGCACCCACCTAGTCAGCACTCTCTGGAGACCACCTCAACATCCGTCTACAGGTTAGAGAATACAGCTTTTCTTTATCACTTGAGATGATTAGAGAGCATGGTAGTCGTGGCTCACTTTTTTTTATTTAGTTTTAGGATGATTAAGTGTATTTTTGGCCATTACTTCTAAATTTAATGATAGATCTCATGGGAGGGTAAGTAATTTGTGAGAGCCACCACCTCCACTGGTTGAATCTGATTGTTTGGTTGGTTTGTTTGTTTGCACTGCTCCTGTAGTTTGATAAGTACTTAACTGACAGGAGCAGTGCAGTCAACAACGATAGACCTTTGAGAGCTGTTTTGCCAGTGTGACACCTTTTATCTTATTTCATTATGTTTTCAATGCAGATTTACCAATGTGACCTACTAGGGGAATAAGCCTCGTTAGTTGTTTATAAAAATGTATGTATATAGTTCCTAAAATTAAGTTGTTTTTTTTTGTTTCCTTTTCAGTGGCAGTAGGACAAAAATTGCTGCATAACTAGATTTAATATTATTCACTTATGAATTATGTATGGAATTGGTATTGTATTCAGTCCTAAAAAATGTAGTTATAACCAAAACGGATTTAAAACCACATGATTTTTTTTATGTCCTGCTTTATACAAAACATTGCCGTTATTGCTATAGAAAGGATCAGGCTTTTCCTGGTTTCTAATTCCAGAGATTAAGGACTTTGTCAAGGACCTTGAGAAAGGAACAATACGTAAGAACAACAGAAGTACAGATTGTTTCCTGATTCAGGTGGAAAATAGTACTCTGCTCTTATTTCAGCCACTGTGAAATTAAAATTAGTGTGGTAAGTGTTAGAGTGGCTCCATAAAGGTAGTTTCTTGCTCAGCCTTTTCAGTCAAGAGACACCTATAGAGCATTTCTTTGATCAAATGTCCAGCTATATTTTATGGCAGGATAACTACTAAAAACTATTTAATTTTATTGTCATTGTCTTTAAGAAAACACTCAATAATCAGGTGAGATAACTGAGCTGAAATCCATGCCCTGTGGCAGGTCCAGTCAGCAGCCGGTATCCAGGGAGGACCAGCGTGGCACCGGTGACGACTCACACGGTGTGGGGGAGTCGGGGGCTGGAGCTGAGAACAGGGGGTTTGAAATGGCCAAAGAGACACGTTTCTGTGCCGTGTGCAGTGACTTTGCCTCTGGGTACCACTATGGGGTGTGGTCCTGTGAGGGCTGCAAGGCCTTCTTCAAGAGGAGCATCCAGGGTAGGTAGATCGTCTGCTTCTGCTATTTGTGACCAGTGGATGTGACTGTCAAATGTTTGGTAAGGATGGTGTCATATTTTGTCATAGTTCAGTATTCAAATTTCATGTAAAACTGATGTATAATTCCTATACCTCTACAGACGTTGGAGTAAGAAACTCTCACACTGAAATGACGTATTTTACCGTATCTGACAAGGAACATTACAACCATATGAAAGAGCATAATATTAAATATAATAGTGACTGTTGTAAATACAGAAAGAAATGGAGCACAGTGCCTCATAAATGTGAATTTTTCTGTCAGTCAGCAAAAGAGAATTTAGGGTGGTTTACATATTAGTTTTTACCTGTATTATTTTTCACCGTCAACACTTTTTCCTTTCTGTTTGCATCTCCTGTCTTTAATACTGTGTAGTGTACAACCTCCGTGTACGACTGCCTCTGTGTGCAGGTCAAAGCTTCACCTACTATCAGCAGCTTAGTCATGTTTGTGATATGATCCTTCTGCACACTGAAAGACGGGTCATAAAGAAACCAATAGTCTCCATGACAATGACGAGCCTTGATGTTGTGTTTTGATTTTTTCCATTTGAGATTCATTTGATGTGGAGAATAGAGTGTTCCTGGCCTCTAAACAACCTAAATCTGAACTGAATACTGGAGTGGGGGGCCTTGAGGTGATGCATTTTCTTCCATTTCAGGTCACAATGACTATATGTGCCCAGCAACCAATCAGTGTACCATAGACAGAAATCGGAGGAAGAGCTGCCAGGCTTGTCGTCTTAGGAAGTGTTATGAAGTGGGCATGATGAAAGGAGGTGGGTAGAAACATCAGCAGAAAATATATTTTTCTTTTTTTCCCCCCAAAACCAATTAGTTTTCACAAAATGTTGAAATTTTTATTTGTTTTTACAGATTTGTACTTTTTTGGCTATTACTTTTATTGTCAGGAAAATAAGACAGTTTGATTGCCCTCGCCTCCTTTTCCATCTATTAGTTATGGCTTGTTGCGGAGAGAATTAGAACAAATATGAAGCTTCTGGTGGACTCAGATATGCTTGATGCTAACTTTAACCTGACCTTGAAATGATTTCCTCTTAAGGAGTACAACTACTGATTAGCACGCACCCACATTTTTGTTTTCATACTTCTTGAATTACACAGGCTGAATTACACATGTACTGTAATGTGCACTGTTGGATTTTATGGCATGAACCAAGTACAGTATAAAGTGTGAGTGATGCAGAGGAAAACACTTAATGCATTTTTGTGGTGGTTTGTGTGTGACTGTGCATTTTAACTACGTGGCTCTTCTGTGTGTATCTGCTTGTTTTTGTTTATGTCATACTCCTGCTGCGTTCTCAAGGTGTGCGTAAGGACCGCAGCCGTGTTTTGCGGCGTGACAAACAACGGATTTGCACCAGTGAGAGAGTCAAGGCCTCTAAGGACCTGGAGCACAGAACAGCGCCTCCTCAGGATGGAAGGAAACAGAGCAGAAGTAATAATGGCGGTGGTGAAGGAGGAAGATCATTGTTTACTGCCCTGCGTCCTGACCAGGTGTTGACTCACGTGGAGATGGTGACCTTTGGTTTCTGAAATACTTTGTTGTAGTGCAAATTGTTCATAAGGAGGAAATGTGGATCTGAAATACTGGGGATTGGAAATATTCATGAAAAGTTCGATGATATTTTTGCTAGTAGGTGTCAAGATGTGTTTGTAGCAGCTTTAAATGAATTTGAAACACAACATCTTATATTTTGTAGTTAACTGGGCTTACAGTGTATCTGCCTCTTCCCAAGGTGCTCCTCATGCTCCAGGGTGCAGAGCCCCCAATACTCTGCTCCCGTCAGAAGCTGAACCAACCGTACACTGAGATCACCATGATGAGCCTGCTTACCAACATGGCCGACAAGGAGCTGGTCCACATGATTGCTTGGGCCAAGAAGCTTCCAGGTTGGAATAAATAAAGTTGCATAGCAATTTAAAAAAATAGTTTTTCTGCAGTGTGGCACCATGACATCTTTTGTATGTCTCATCTAGATTAAAAGATATTTCCAAACTGTATCTCTTCAACATTCACCTGGGTGATGGTAGACCTTTATAGCAGAGCCATTACAATGATGGTAATTACAGTCATCATCCTTTTCAAAGATTGTTTAGCCAATCTGCTGGCACCCCATAGAGCCCGACTGTAATATACGGCAGATCACCTTTAACATGCACCAACACACACACACAAGCACACCCAACAGGCTCTCTGAGTCAGTAAATCCTGATTTTGAGGTATTACAACCTTGTGTGCCACTAAAAGCCCAAAGACACAGAGTTTTAATTGCGGGGATCCAAACAGGGAACAGAGGACGACAATGGGAGTGAATTGGCTGTAATTACATATGAACTAAGACGGCTGAGCGCCACCAATAAGGCTTCTTATAAGACCAGAGAGATTGCAGCTGGTTTTATTTAGGTAGCTATTCACAGTCATAAAACAGTTGTGTAAATTTTTGTTTTTATGAGTGGGATGAAGGTGCACAGAAAACTGGAACTCTGGGAATGTTCCACATCATTCTGTAGTTTTCACTCAGCACTCCAGATTGATATAAGAACACTTATGGGCACCAGGTGTTTTTCTGTGCCTGGATTTGGTCTGGGTGCCAAATCCTTGTTGTGATTAGGCCAAAACACACATTTCCTATGATTCTGAATAATGACTTTTAATGAGGATTGGTTGGAGATTACTTGAAACTTTGTTAATCACAGAGCAGATGTGGCCTCTGGACAGCTGGTCAGAATAATCAGAAGTGTTAAATGTCTTGTAACATGGTGTGAATCACCTTAGTCCTTTCTTAAATGCTTATTAATTGTGCCTTGTGTGTGTGTTTTTTTTCTAGGTTTCCTGCAGCTGTCCCTCCATGACCAGGTGCAGCTGTTGGAGAGCTCATGGCTGGAAGTGCTGATGATCGGGCTCATCTGGAGGTCCATCCACTGCCCTGGCAAACTCATCTTTGCACAGGACCTCATACTGGACAGGTAGAGAGGAACACTTGCCTTAATTCTCTATGACTTGTGTCTTTCCATGCTTTTTTCATCTCTTTTCTTACTTTTCCTCCCTATTTTTCTAGCTTCCTCTCACTCTCACACAGATCTTAAGAGTGATACATCAGCATTGTAGATTTTCCATTTCACACTTTGTCAGCCATTGTGCTATCCCAACACATCCAACATAGAGTGAACGACTAATCACATGTCCCCCATGGAGAGGAGAGTAGCTTCTTTCTACGCTGAAATACTCTTGATCATTACAGTGCTGAACTAGGAAATGGGGCAGAGATTTAATCAAAACCTCAATGCACGGAATGATGGAAAAGGGAGAACGACGAAGAGAAAAGTAACGGACAAGGAGGCACAGGAGAAAGAACAAAATTACGAACAGAGAAGACAAAAAAATAGAGATGCAGCGACACATGCGACAGCTGTTTTCTGCTTTGCAGGCACAAGCCTGTTCCCTCCATTTCCCCCCATGTTCAAAGTAAACAAGCCAGCCAAGTACAGTATCAACCAGAGAGAAAAAGAAGTAGAGACATACAGACAGATAGCTTTTACCCTGTGTTGTGCGTGATGGTCCCATTTGATACTAAAGTGTATTACAGAGTATTATCTCTAAAACCTGGTCCCCGTATAGTGTCCTCACCAATTGGACATGATGACTAAAATGCTGTGGGTCAGGGTTGAAAAAATTCCCTCAGCCCTGTAATGTCCAAGTTTATCTTGCACTCCAACCACTAAATCCATCTTTCCATCAGTTTTCAACTATGCTGACAAATAGATCATTGCAATGATTCAGGCCATTATTTGTTTATCTGGCAACTCTTTGGACAGTTTCATGGTCACAGATGTAGTCAGGTTCTCTTCCCTCTGGCAGTGCACTGCCGAGCAGAAGCTTTTGTGACTGCACTGTGACTTTTGTGGTTTTTTTACCAGTTCAGTTCTTTCATATGTGACTTAACAGAGTTTTAAATATCAAAGAACAGAGAATTTCAATCTCTGGAATGTAATGTTTCCTTTCATTCTCTGCTCCAGGAACGAAGGTGGCTGTGTTGAGGGCATGGCTGAGATTTTTGACATGCTGTTGGCCACAGCGTCCCGCTTCCGCACGCTCAAACTCAAACCTGAGGAGTTTGTTTGTCTTAAAGCTCTCATCTTGCTCAACTCCGGTGAGGCAACCTGTGTGAGTGTGAGTGCTTACCTCACATCATCTGCCTGTGTTTACAGTTTTGTCTTGTGAAACATTTTCAGAGAAACTAAACTGATGGGCAACAACAGTGGGCAGCAGAGACACTTCCCTAAAAAAACATCACCACTCTAATTGTCTAAACCACAGATTTGCTTGAACGCACACCACTTTGTCACAGGTTTCAGTTTCTGTTCCTGAGAGTAAACATTCGACGGCGTCGGACTACACCCACACAGGTGTAGCTCTGACCGCTGCTCAGGCACACTGAGTGAACAGTGTGTTCTGGAAAAGGCTGAACCGTCAGTATACCCAATAACTGTTCCCATGACAACATGAGACAGCTCAGAGGGCTGTGTTTATCCTAGTGATAGAGATACTCTATATAGGAAAATTGAGTCTACTGAAATACCAGTGGGATGGCACTACTGGCACAGCTGCTGGAGCTGGATGAGCTTTTGATTACTGTGTGGGTAATACTGCAAGTGGAATTAATTTTCTGCTCTTATATGTATGACCTTGAATCAAAAGCTGAGCTTTGAACATATTTGTTCATTTTAACATTAACATGTAGCAAATTGAGTGAGTGTTCTGATGTCTGATAACATGTAGCAAATTGAGTGAGTGTTCGGATGTCTGAAACTTTGCAGTAACCTTATGTTTTTATGTTTGTGTTCTGTTAGGTGCTTTCTCTTTCTGCACTGGCACCATGCAGCCACTGCACGATAGCGTGGCAGTGCAGAACATGCTGGACACCATCACTGACGCTCGTACATCATACCAGCCTATCAGGATGCTCGTTTCAGCAGCAGTTGAGACGGCAGACGCAGCTACTCCTCCTGCTCTCCCACATCAGGCACATGAGGTGGACTTACATTAGAAAATGTCTCTTTTGTTTTCATCATATTAAAGGTCTTTTTTGGTTTAGACACAGTTTCATGAAGACCAAATTTAAATCATCCTATCTGTAATTCCTTATGGAGGGAGAAGCTTAAATAGTCTGGTGACATTCTACATCTTTCTTGTCAACAAATCCCATCTAAAGACCAAAACCACACGCATTTAACTACTATTACAAATGTAGCTTAAGTCTGATATTGCCTAGTCCCATGTGACAGATCTTTAGTGTCACTCTGACTGTTGTACAGTGTAATGCATTCCTTTATCACAAAGAGCACTTTAGTTTATTTTAAGTCGGTGCCAAATACACCGCCTTGCTGTAGTAATGGTATCTGTAGAGGGTTTTGACTGCTACGAGTTTTATGGAGCAGTGTTTTTGCAAGTGGATTCCTGTTTTGTATATACTGTGCAAGGACACGGGCATGAATGGTTTCACACTATTCCACTGATCTACAGGTGGATATAGTGCACCTAAAAATGCAGCAATACCCAGGCAGACACTACAAGCTAGGAAACAGTGGATGTAAATAATAACACGATTTAATATTTAATGAAAATCAGATTTGCTAATGTTTTATGAAGATGGAAATGCATTAAAGACACATTGGTTACACAGTCTGTTTTGGTAGATAACACTGGAAGAAAATTTTATTTGTTTACAAGAAAAACTCCACAGAGCATCTTTTAAAACTTGCTTGAGTACCAAATGTGTATTATTCTGCCCCAACAAATGACGCATTTACTCCTGTTTGAGTAATGTTTGCTAAAAACTACAGTGCCTGGCTGAAACTGTGTTTCTAACCCAGGTATTAACACATAGAATTATAAAATCAAACAGAGCTGGTAGGATGCTGTCTGCAGTTTTACTTACTGTTTGATTAATAAAGTCACTCCTAAAGTAATTCCTCATCTTACTTTTGGTTACTCTCCCTGCAGCAACAAAGGCATGGAACACCTCTACAGCATGAAGTGCAAGAACAAAGTGCCCCTGTACGACCTGCTGTTGGAGATGCTGGATGCTCACAACCTCCATCGCCCCATCAGACCAGCTCAGGCCTGGTCCCAGACTGACAGAGACCCTCCCCCCACCACCAGCAGCAACAACAACAGCAGCAGCAGCAGTAGTAGTGAATCCTCTTCAGCTGGCTCCAGTTCAGGACCCCGAGGCAGCCACGAGAGCCCGAGCAGAGCCTCCACAGGCTCAGGTGTCCTGCAGTACGGAGGGTCCCACTGCGACTGCACCCACATCCTATGAGACAGAGCACAACGGGTAACATCTGAAGGTCAAAAGTAATTTTTGTGGATAATATACGTAGTACAGAAGGAAAGGGGTTTTAAAATGAAAGACTGAGTATTTGAATTAATTTCATGATATTATAAATTGAATGATTTATTTTTTTGTTGTAGCTGGTTAGGGAGATATTATTCCTTTGCACTGCTCCAATTAACTACAATCTAAGCTTAAATGTTGTTAATCTTCTGTGTTGCCTTTCATAATATCTGTGACTCAGTCTCTTAACAGCTTTACAGTACAGTTCATGATTTCCAAAAGAGCAGGTGTTAGGTGTTGTGGCACCCTGTTAGCCATGATTTGAAATGACGAGCAGCTAAATTTTCTTTTATTCGTCTCGACCAAAGTGCACTTCTTATTGGGTTTAATGAGCTATTAGGCATTATTTTTACAAACCCGATTCCAAAAAAGTTGGGACACTGTACAAAATGTGAATAAAAAGAGAATGCAATGATGTGGAAGGTTGAAATTCCAGTATTTTATTCAGAATAGAATATAGATAACATATCAAATGTTGAAAGTGAGATATTTTGAAATGTCATGCCAAATATTGGCTCATCTTGAATTTCATGGGAGCTACACATTCCAAAAATGTTGGGACAGGTAGCAATAAGAGGCCGGAAAAGTTAAATGTACATATAAGGAACAGCTGGAGGACCAATTTGCATCTTATCAGGTCAATTGGCAACATGATTGGGTATAAAAAGAGCCTCTCAGAGTGGCAGTGTCTCTCAGACA